GCGCGTCCAGGCCGTGCATGACTGCGGGGGGCTGTGACGTGCCCCGAGCTGGGGTGTGTCCCGGCCAGGCCTGGGCCCCTGCACCCCGAGCTGGAACAGCTGCACGGTGAACGAGGAGCCGACCCCCCTGGGCTGGGGCTGGCTCCGCAGTTCGTGATGTTTATGCAGCAACCTGCCCGGCCCCGGCCCCTCAGCGAGCGGCGGCCAGCGGGTGTCCGTGGGGCTCCGCCTAGCCGCGTTCCGAGGCGCCATCGGCGACGGGCAGGGCAGCCTGCGCAGCGTTGTTCCACACTAGCCTACCCGCCCGCCATGACCTGGCTTTTCCAAACAGGAACTGGTGAGGGGAAGCCGTGAGAGGCTCCCGCCAAAGCAGTGTCCATCAAGGTGTCGTCCAGAGAGGGGCTCCGTGCCGGGCCTCGGGGACCCCAGTGCACCATGCGTCGCCAGAGCGGCGGGGACCGAGCTCGGCCCCACGGATGCTCCCCTGCCCGAGGCAGCGGCCCTGGATCTCCCTTCCGATGGCTCCACCTCCTCGGTGCCCCAGGCCAGAGCACGTGGCGGGGCCCTTGTCCACGTGCCCAAGCCGCCTGCTCACGGTGACCAGGGCGCCGGGGCCCTGGGGCCCAGTGAAGGAGAAGGGTGGTCGGGCCCTGCCCCTTTGGAGCCCGGCACCCACTCGCCCAGGCGGCCCGGGCTGGGAGCTCCTGCAGACCAGCGCCGCAGCACCGGCACTGGGGTGCCTTGGTGGGCTTCTTAATTCGCCCTGTGGTTGAGAAATGCTGGCCTGCAGAAAAGGCCACTGGCACCAGGGAGGCCAGTTTCCCTTGTTGGGTGCTTTCTCGCTGTCCTGCCTCCCTCTGCGGTCAGTGCCCGCCACGCAGCTCCCGCCGGCCCTCGCCACTGGGGCCGGGGCCCAGCCCTCCATCCGACCTGGGGAGGCAGGGCTGAGACCGCCCGGCCGTTCGTCTGTGCGTCATCGGTCCAGATGTTCCCCAGTCAGGGCCCACGCGCCGAGAACGGGGAGCCAGGACTGCTCCGTCCACCTCCCCTGTAGGCAGAGGGGGCCTTGATGCTGTGGCCACGCTGACCACAGCCGCATGGAAGCAGAGCACCGGCTCTGGGCTAACCTGGAGTCTGAAAACCCAGACAGCGGCTCACACGGAGAAAGAGACGAACAGGCCGGTGGGTGGGTAGCACCTTCCGCCGGCCCGCTGTGGCCGAGATCCAAACACAAGGGCCAGCTCGGGCGCGGCTGTCGGACAGCTGGGGGGAGGGGGGACTGGGACACCGGGCCGGACGCCGTGCTAGCAGGCGTCAAAAGCCACGACTGGCCCGGGGCCCGGGCCTGGGCGCCCGGGGGGCGTGTGGCCCTTCTCTGCTCACGCCCACCGCGTCAGAGGCTGTGCTGCAGGGGCCTGGTGCAGCTCTGTCCCCTCGCTGGACGGGCAGGGCGTGAAGACAGGCCCACGATGCTAACGCCCAGCAGGAAGGCCGAGTGAGCGGCAGCACTGACCGGACGGGACGAACAGGCAGGAGAACAGACCCCCGCGCCCGCCCCGGCCCCCCGCGGACGTCCCGATCTGAGAGCTGGGACTCCCGGCCACGGTGGGCGGGGCCGCTGGGCCCGGAGCCCACTTTCTCCACGAGAGAAGAACCCGGGGACCCTTGACTGGGCGCCCCCTGGGGGCACCTCCTCGGGTGCAGTGAGAGAAGTCCACAGCCTCCCGGGAAAGCGCGGCCACCACAGGGGAAGCACCAGGCCCAGCACCAGCCTGGCCGCGAGCGCAGACGTTCACTGCGCTAGGAAACGCCGCAACTGTCCTCCCACAGCCACCGGCAGGAGGGAAGAAGCCAGGCAAGTCGCGTCGGGGCCTGAAGCTGTGGTCGCCAAATGAGAAAACTGCTGCGATGCTCCTAACCCGGTAAGCAAAAGTCAGCTCCGTGGAAAGACTTTGGGGGGTTTCTAGAGCTCCTGAGCAGGGAGGGGCAGAAGGCAATTCCCGCAAGGGGGACCCCTCCAGGCCAGGCCTGAAGGAAGGGCTGACGGTCCCCAGTTGACCCAAGGGCCTGGCCATGGCCCCGGGGGCGGGGGGAGGACGGGGGGGCAAAGGGGAGCAGCTGAGACCCACGAGGACTCCACGGCGCAGCCGGCCCTTCTGTGTCCAGACTGGGACCACTGTCCCCTCTGTACCAAGGGCCTGCTGGGACCCTGAGCAATCATACACCCTCTCCGTGCCCAGCTTCCTTTAAAGATCAAAGGTCATCACACCCTTGAGGGCAACGCTCGAGGTCTTCATGAGAAACCCCACACCAGTCCCAAGCAGCAGCCCCCAGAGGCTCGGCACCCTAAATCTCTGACCCCTGGGACCAACTCTCTTCCCCAGGAGGACAAAGGTCTCAGAGCAACTGTACCTGTTCTCCAAACTCTGAGCCCACAATTTGGAAAATCTACGTGTCAGTGACCTTTGGGGGAACTGTCCACTCCCACCTACGGGGCGCCTCAGCACCCCGCCGTACAGAACGTGACGCTAAAGTGCACCAACACCCTTGCAGAAAGCTCCCTCGTGCCACACTGTGCCCGCGCCAGAGCCAGCGGGTGCCGCTGCCTTTAAGAAGTCACTGGGTCGACTCTCTCCGAGGGGTGGACGCCCCCTGCGGTCAGTCCCTCTGGGCAGCACAGCAAGACCCACGTGCATCCCAGCACTTCCAGTCCTGGACAGCGAGTAGGAGGGTGGACAGGTTCTAGACTGGCAGGGACGGTGACCAGGCCCAGGGCAGCACCTCTGGGTCTGGGCCAGGCTCTCCTTTGCTCCTGTCATGGAAAGGGCCTCCGAGGCCCTCATCCCGGCACCGGGGCTGTCCCCAGGAGACAGCAGGCCGTCCCTTCCGGGCCACCCAGCTGGAGCGGGGCGGAATGCCTCCACGATGCAGTGATCACCTGAGACGGACCAGTCCCCAGCAGGCCGCTAACCTTGTCCTGAGACCAACGCCAACTTCCCTCTCCTCGTAAGTCAAATTCGATTAGACACTTTCTTGAAATACATAGAGCTGCGTTTGGGGGGGGGGGTGCCCTTCATTTTTTTGTTAGCAAAAGAAACATCTGTTCCTGCTCACTCCCATCCACGCGTCCCAGCGGACAGCGTTGTGCCTCGCCACCGCTGCTCTGCCCGGGCCTCTCCCGTCCTGGTAAAGACGAGAGGGAACACGGACACACGCAGAGCCGCCCGCCAGCGCCCTCACTCCAGCTGCAAGTAAGCGGGGGCCAGGAGACGGTGGACGTGAGGATGTCCTTGATGAACGTTGTCACTGGCTTTGGAGTCTGCCTTGGTGGCTGTTTTGTGTGGACAACACTCGCCGGCTGAGCAAAGTGCATGCTTGAAAATGTGGGGGCCTGGCGAGCTCCAGTGATCCGTGATCTTCTTGCCCACCCACCCCCTAAAAATAAGCTAATAGAATTTAGAACCTAGCGTTTAAAAATGCGGAGGGCGCTGCGGCAAGGCAGAGGCGCCCTGCAGCATGCTTGGGCAGGGTGAGCCACCAGCCCCCCGCGGGCCGCTGGCGTGTGGCTCGGAGCAGCCGGAAGCGGGTTATGAACAGAACCGTGTGATGGGCAAGGAAAAGGAAGCCCTGGCGGCCTCCATCCTGGGCCTGCCCACACCGAAGCACACTGGC